ATCATTACCTGTGTGTATATGATATGTGTGCATGTATGCGTGTGTGTATGTGTATACGATGTGTGTATGTGTGTACATGTGTATATATGTGTATGATGTCTGTGTGTGTACATATGTATGTCTGTGTGTGTACGTGTGTGTATGTATGTGTGTGTGTTGTGAATGTATGTGTATGTGTGTGCACGTGTATGCATGTGTGTGTATACGTGTGTATGATGTGTATGTATGTGTATGCATATGTGTGTATGTGTATATATGCGTGTATGATGTGTGTATGCATGTATGTGTATGTGTGTATATGTGTGCATGTGTGTATGTATATGCATGTATGTGTGTATGTGTGTGTGTGTGTGGTGAGCATGCTTAAGATCTACCCTCTTTGCAGATATCACGTGCACGTTATTTTTTTTTCAGTTCTCATATTTTAATCTTCACTGTTTATCTTTTGCAGTTGATATGCATAAATGCAATGATTGCAGATGAGAATGTTTCAAGTTAAGGAAATTTTCATAAACTTATTTTCTTCCTTTTTTCTCTTTCTTTCTTCCCTCCCTTCCCTCCATCCCCCTTTTTTTTTTAATTGAAATACAGTCAGTTACAATGTGTCAGTTTCTGGTGTCCAGCACAATGTCCCAGTCATGTATATACATACATATATTCATTTTCATATTTTTTCATTAAAGGTTATTATAAGATATTGAACATAGTTCCCTGTGCTACACAGAAGAAACTTTTTTAAAATCTATTTTTATATATAGTGAAGTGCACAGTGTTATTAGTACTCATGATGCTGCACGTTAGATCCCTAAAACGTATTCATCTTATAAATGAAGGTTTGTGCCCTTTGACTAGCATCTGCCCATTTCCCCTCCCTCCCTCCCCCAGCCCCTGGCAACCACCATTCCACTCTCTGGAGCTACAGAAAATTTACAAAAAATTTTTATTGTGGTTTTCAACCATTTGACAGTAATCACGAGCATTGATAAGAAAACCTTGAACTTTATCCATTTTAAAATCCTTCCCGATTATTGTAGGTTGAAAAACCAGCAGTTGGCCTATCTTGTGAGACTGAACAATGTTTTGGATGTACATTGGCGTCTGCATTTCTGTGAACTGTCTGTTGATTTCTAAACTAGGGTATGCTAAGCTACGTAGTGATAGGTAAACCCTGAAACCTTAATGGTGCAAGAGAATGAATGTTTACTTCTCAAACATGTCATAGTGACTTGGGCGAGTGTTCGTTCACACAGCACTTCAGGGTCCACATGTCCGATCTGTGATGGTGACATCCTAGACCCGTGAGCCTTGGGGACACCAGGGAAAGGGAAGTGACAGCAAAGGTAGGCCCAGACAGAATTCAAGAGACTGACAGTGCAAACACTCGACCTCTGAGAACTGGGAAAGGAGTTTAAGGATAAGACAGGAAGACTGGAAGCTGGTGGTCGGAGGGAAACACTATAAACCAGGGGAGGGAAAGATCCTTAGAAGATGTGTCAAGTCCGGAATTCCCCTGTGGTTTTATGATTCAAGTATTCAGGGACTCGATATTTCTGTACAGTGTCGCTCACAATCTGCTGCTTCACCCTTGCACGTCAGAAAAGCACTTGTCCCTGAAGGTCCAGGCATGGGAGCAAGTGGAGGAGAAACCTTCCTTCCGGCTGGCCCCGCTTGGTAGGGCCACATAAGCAATTCTTGTTAACTGATTTTTAAAATACTGTGTTTGAGCCAACACTTGTTGCCATAAACAGTGTGAACTCCAGCAGACTGCCATGGAGGGCTGTGTGAATAGCTGCTTTAAAACTCCTCAAATCTTACCAAGCTTGGGTATGGACGTACACCATTCAGATTTTCAGCATTTCAAGGATTAGTGTCCACAAGCTGAGGGTGAGTGCCCTGAAGACCATTAGAAACATCTCCACCATTTCTATTTCAATGCCTGAATATCCCACCGCTGTACCGTGGAATGTTACCCTAGGGTTAAGTGAACAGGGGTATTTCTAGCATTAAATATGACAGGAAATTAGGCCCTGGATAGATTACATGAAAAGAAACCAGTTGCACAACTAAATGGATATATAAACAACTACGACGTTTAAAAGGCCCCAGTTCTCACTTGGCACTTCTCTTAGTTTTGTTTGCCTCAATTATTTCACCCTCTGGAAACTCTTTCATTCTTCCCTTAAAACTATTTTTAAAAAACTCCCATGAAAACACTGTGGCCAAGATGCAAGGCCATCTGAGCAGCTGAGGGAAGTACCTGCTAGGAGAGTGTGATGTCCCCCACCTGCGGCTTTAGTGTCACCATGTCTGCAGGTGACTTATAAGTGGCTCTGCCAAGGCCAAACCAACAAATGTGAGTGTGTCTCTGCAGGAACGTGTGTCTGCTTATGTTTTATATGGAGAGAAAGTAAGTGCGGTGGACAAGCAACAGCTTAGCATTTCCGGGAGTGTCCTTTCTACTATTGCTTCAAATTTTCCATGTTCAATTCTTTTCAAAATAATAAGTTGGGGAAAAGAAAGAAATGCCACTTGGATTTTATCCACCCCAAACTTCCTAAGGTAGGTAGACTTACTAGACCGAGTTCACTAGCATAAGGTGGACAATGTCGACTTACTTTCATAACTTTTTGTTTTGTTTTGGGAAGGGGGAGGTAATTAGGTTTATTTATTTATCTTTGGATGGAGGTACCGAGGATGGAACCCAGGACCTTGTGCATGCTAAGCACGCACCCTACCGCTGAGCTATACCCACCCCTTTTTTATAATTTTTTAAACTGTCCAGGTTAACTGTCTTATTCTAATGCTTGAGAAATTTTTTATAGGCCTATGTCTTCGATTCCTTTGTCTTATTTATTTATGTGCTAGAAATAAAATCTAGCTTTTTATTTAAAAAAAAAACAGGAATGTTCAGCTACTATAGTTGTTTTCATTTTTTAAATGGACCAAAACAGGGCTATGTTCTAGACACCCATTTTATACAACTCTGCTTTAAGAACCAGGCAAAATATGACCTGATAATAAATAATTATCAACATAACGTTTCATGGGTCTCCACAGACGTCTATGTGCATATGCTTAAGTTCTTGAAATACAGGGAGGAGACAGTACACTGGCTTCTCGGCAGCCAGAGCCCCAGCATAGTGGATTTTCTATTTCTTTCCATGAAGCTTTGATGGGCTTCTTGTACACAGTCCTCCCGGGCAAAGTCTCTCTAAAGGCAACAGGTCTAGAAGAACCATCAAAAACCACTGAAAACCTCAGCTGTACATTCCTCGCTGGACATCAAATATTTAAGAACTGTGAAACACAGGAATCCTACTTACCCAGTGTCTGCTCCTACCCTAAAGCAACTGGCATCGAGGGCAAGCTCGGATTCCAGCAATCCTTGAACGTGTCTGGACAGACACCTGTGTGGCCCCCTGACTGACTGTCTCACCGGCTGAAGGACTGACAACCCACCCACTTCCATTCTTTCAAGACACGGAGACTTAACCAGAGGCCAAATGAGATGCCCATACCCCACTTTTAAGAATAGGGCTTTGCTGGTTTTCCTGGTGGACTCTGGCATGTTTCATAATTGCATGGTTCATTATGGATTTTTAATGAGAAAAGGGACAAATTACCGTTTACAGTGTATTGTCTATGCAGTCAGTACCTAATCCAGAGGGAAAGGGAGAGCAGGTGTGGAAATGAGCTCAGGGAGACAGATAACGCACGCACACAGACGCACGTACACAGCAGCTGAGGATCTGAGGCGTCAATACCTGTGCTCGCTTTATTCTGTCTAAAAATAACCAATAGTGTAGTATAGCTATTCTGGTCTCTCTTTACAGAATAACACTGTAAAACTGAGAATTCAAATGTCACTCTTTCAAGGGCAATGCCAAATTCAGACTGGAAACTGCTGGCTCATACACGCACAACCAGAACAATTTAAAACACTTGTATTTATTCGTCATAAGGCATGCAGAACTTAGCGACTACAATATACTAAGTTATTTAAAAATACTGAGCCCAAAAGAAAAAGTACATATTGCTTACACAGTGTTTCAGTTTCCTCTCCTGGATTGAACCACAATAAATTTTTCAGCACAGCCTGTGCAAGTAACAGGCCAAGCTTTACTATTCCTTGGCAAGGAACTCCTGTTCCCACAAGGCACTCCTGACCTCCCCAGGGCCCAGGCTCTTTTGAGGCTGGATTCACCAATGCTGCATTCTGACAACCTGTATTTTTGGATGCAGCATTAGAGGGTTTAAAGACAATCAATCGCTATGCCAAGATAGACACACCTCAGTGTGATTTTAAAGTGCTACCAAGAAGTAAGTTGCCAATTTATTACCTGTTCACAGAATTTAAAAATATTCTACATAGATTTTTGCCAAGAACTTAAATACTCAGTGACCATCACTTGATTCTTCAAGGAAGGTTCAAGATGCTTGGAGGTTTTTTGTTTTGCTCGGCCCAGAGATGCCAATAAACAGAACAGTCAAGATGTAAAAATCCCTCAAAAGGCATATTGTAAAAGCAAAGTTCTCTCTTCCCTTGGCGGTCCCTGCAACATTCCTGTAGACGTGCGTTCCTAACTTCAGCCTGACTCCCCAGCTAGGATGCTCATTTAAGACAGACTCCCTAGTCCCACACCCCAAAACTTCTGATTCTGTTGGCCTGGGGTGGGGCCTAAGAATTTGACTTGGACAAGCATCCCCCGGTGGTTCTAACACAGGTGTGAGCTGGACTGCTCTCTGAGAAACACCCCTTTCAAGCCCAGTTCCTCCTCCCCGATTACATGGACCTCTAAAGCCCCAGAATTTTCTCTTTATAAACATGAATCTTCACAATGATGGTTTCAAGTTCACCATCCGATTAGCTCACTTCCTCTCGGTAGAACTGCCACCAAGGAAACCATCAGCGTTCAAGACATGAGCAATGTCGAAAGTAGTTCAGATCTGGCCGTCACTCTGGTATTTAAAGAAAAAAAAAAAGCTCAACAGTATGTTCGTCTTACTCAGAGGTTTCCAACACATTTTATTTTGCAGACCACCGGATTGCAGCTTTTGAGGACCAACATGGGCATCAATCCCTATAACATGTCCAATTAATTTCAATTAATTTCAGTTCTGCGGCAGCCCCTCAAGTCCCGCACGCCGAACGAGAGTGTGGCCTGGGCTCCAGGGACACGTGCGAGGAGGCTGCACTTTGGCTCCTGGAGGACACGTCCAAGGCAGAGCCTCTTCCAGGGCCTCCCGAGCGGTGGTTTCCTTTGGCAATAAGTTGAGCCGTTCTCTCGGGTCTGGCGCCTGCATGCAGGGAGGGTTCAGAAGCGGGCCGCGACGCTGAGCGCAGACACTCGGGAAGTCAGTGCACTTGTGCTTGAAGACAGGACTCTTCCTAATCGTTTAGTAGGTGAGAATATAAGGAAGCCTCTGCTTTTAAGTAACACAGATGAACACCTTTTTAGATCGCCTATTTGTCCTAGGACTATAAAATTCAATTCAAGAAAATATAGGTCCCGTGAAAGACTTGAAAGTTTTATAAAACTAAAATCTAGTTTTCCCCCAATAAACCGTATTTTAGCCAAAACCCTCCCGATGCTTCTAAAATAATACTAAATTCAGGGGCATCTGATTATACAAGAGCAATAAAAAAAATTAAATATTTATTTGAATAACAAGTCTTGGTTTGAGCTGCATGGTTGGCGATGCGGGTTTCCACACAAGATCACAGAAAGCGTGTACGGAAAACTACGGCGCAAAGGACAAAATAATGCTAAGAATTAGGCTAAAGAGCTGCTGATTTTAAGAAAACAAAAGGCCTGAAATCACTATACAAAATATAAAATGTATTAAACACTACCATCCACGGAACAGTCTTTATTACTGATTATATTTAAAAAATGATCTGTGCAGTTAATTATAGGTTGACTTGTAAATGAGTATTATACATGAACCCCCTTTCGGGGGACAATTCCTTGCTGCACTATTGAATACCTAATTACGTTGCAAAAAGTGTCCTTTTTTTGCTATCAATAAAGAAAACAGTTAATGGTATCACTGTAAGTATTAGGAAGGCTACAAAAAAAGAAATAATATTTCTTTTTTGTCCTCAAAGTGCTTTCCATGCAGAGTTAAGCACTTGCCTTGTTTAACTGAATGCACTCTTGGGAGATGGCCTGGGTCAAAGAGATGCTCTTGAATTAGAAGAATCATGCAACCCTCTCGCTACTGGGAAACCATTGTGTCACTCACCAATCCTGCCTTTCCAGAATATCATTCCAGACACTTCCAAAAAAGGATCAGACTGATACTGATAAATATACATGAAATGAAAAGACGCAAACTGCCATTAGACACCACAACGGGTAATGTCTGTGCTACGTGAAAGCACCTTTAAAAAGAGCCTACTCGGCAAAGAGATAAGTGTCTAAAGATTCAAAATGAATCAACAGTATTGGATAACAATATAATTCTCAACTCAGAAGCTGCCTCAAGATTAGGTGCATCTTCAGTTAATGTAACAGGAAAAAAAGGCAATGGATTTTATTTTATTAATTGCATCCACTCACAAATCGGCCTAAGGTCACCAGATGTGTAGACACAATGAAATTTTTCGTTGTTGTTTACAGTCTTTAATTGAAATGATGATAAAGGAAATAGAGCTATTTAAAAACAAAACCACACAGCTGCCTCGGCCTAGATTAAGAGGTGGCACCGGGTGTGGGGTTCACATTCTGGGTGGCCACCTGCGGCGCAACTTCGATGATCCGGGGTTTGTCTATGATCCTGGCCGTGCGGTTCCCCTTCTCCACGATCCCAATAATCCATGCTTGGTGACCTTCACCGTACTTGGGGGACTTTATCTCTGCGCAGAACCGAGCTGCCTGCTCACGTGGTAAACAGATTAGAAGGCCTCCTGGCAAAGGGAAAAAAGGTGCTCGTTAGCTGTGACGCTGTGTGAGCGGCTTCCCTGCCACTCTGTCCCTAGGACACCTCTGTACCGACACACATCCAACAAGCAGCCGAGCTGGCCGTGCCGCCTTCACCTCGCCCCCAGCTGACACTGCGGAGCCACTAAGCGATTCCTCGGGCAACTCCTACGATGTTACAAAACACAACCACCAACTGTAAACCGTGGAAGTGCCCCATTTGTGGATCTGAGGCCACGCAGGAGGGGCGTGTTTGCGGGCTCAGGAACGCACACGGCCGCTAGCTTTCCCACGCTACACTGAAAGCATCATTTAAAAACAGAAGAGAACTTCTTTTTGATTTGATTCTCTCCATGGAGTCCTCCTTTCTTCAAAAACAGGTTTTCCTGTTTTTTTTCTTAATTTAAAAATAAAGATCCTCAAAGAGCCTCGCAGTATCTGGGTTCTGTCACTGGCTTGTCATTATCTTCAAAACAGAAAAAAAAAATGTGAAAATAAACCTTTATTGCTACTTCAGTAGCCAGGACAGAGTATTTTATATGTTTTAAGTAGAAATAACACAATGAGGAAAAAACACTACGCTGCACTTCTACAGACAGGAGAGAGCTGCTCACTTTTGCGTAAGGGCCACTACGTGCACTTTGGGGTGCTCATCGGCTCATTCAGCTCTGGCCCCACGCCCCGCAGGTGGCAGGCGCTGCGGCAGGAGCGCTGTGCTCCTGGAACTTGTTTCAGAGGACAGGAGAGGCAGGGTCCCCCCTGCAGGCTGTGCGAGGCCCACCTGGGACCCAGTCCTACTGTCCCGGGGCTGGTGCGTGGGTAGTGGGGCCTGGGCTTCGCCTCTGCGGGTCAGGATATCTCAGGACAAGGCCCACCCAGACCGAACTGGTCAGGTTTCTTAGGGGTCTGGTCCAGGCATGGGTATTTCTTTAAATTCCCAGATGATTCAACTCTTTTGCCAGGGTTGGGAAATCAGAGTTACAGAGGAAAGAAAAGAGAAATAAGAGAAACTGGGGGTGGGGGGGAGATGGGGGAACTGAAACGATGACACACAAGAGTCCACACAAAGGGAAAGGAAAAAAATGGGACAAAAATGCACTTTGGAGATATAATATACTATTTCGTTCTTAAAACAGCAATTTCGGACATTTTCCCCCACAGAAAAAATACAGCCTCTTCAGTGTCGCCTACGGAACTAGAGTTATTTCAAACACTGAGTTTCCAAGGACCTATTTTTCCTGTTTCTCCCCGCCCCTGCCCAATCCATCACCAACACACTGGACTTAAAATGATGCTGCTCGTCACACAGGAGGCACCAGGAGGAGCTGAGGACACTCGCAGCCCAGGCCTCACACCGTGGGGTCCCGCTCGTGGGCCCGGCTCCTCCTCCTTGGGGACACACCGCCGGCCCCTGGGCAGCCCAGCCCTGGTACCTGACGTCTCTGGGCAGGTCCCGTGCATGAGGCCAAACATGTTCCCGCAGGCCTTGCTCACGGCTGCCATCTTGGCCAGGACAGGAAGGTTGTGAATCACAAAGGACACCTCGTTCCTCTGCTGCTTGGCCAGGTTCTGTGCGTGGCCCAGGATCCCGAAGCCCGTGATGTCGGTGGCCGCGTGGGCGTTGAACGTGTGCATGAGTCCGGCCGCTGCAAGACGACAGAGGAGGCGCTTACGGTTCGTGTAACAGACTGAGACTCTGGGAAGACACCCCTCCTCCACTCAAAATTTACTCACACTTTGATCTCAAAACTCCTAACTGGTCAGGGAGACGGCAGGCAGGGATGATGAAAGTCAAAGTGTAATTTAAAAAACCCAAAAAAACCCAGAGTGAAATTCAAAGTTGGTTTCTTAGTCCAGTTTGAACCACTCAGAACTACCAGCAGCTTCAATCAGCAGTAAATTCCCAGTAAACGCAAGTATCTGAAAAGAGGAATTACTATCTCAGTCACAGGAAACCTGTCTAAATTCTCCTAAAACCAAAGCACAAGACTTTTAAAGACTGTCTGACCTGCATTCAAGGCACTCCCATGATGCCTGAAAGGTTAATCTCTTTTATTCTTTAATTTAAAAAATTAACACACTTTACTTGGGGAAGTAGTTTTAGGTTGTGCAGAATACTGAGC